TAAACCATACTAAAGACTGAGGATTCACAGAAGTTCCTTTACTTAAAGGAACTTAAGTTACTCAAAGAAATGAAGACTGATTATGTTCATTTTCTGCTATACAGTCTTCTCCTCTCTGGGAACTTTCTGTGGATTTTAACTATCTTCAATAATAACTACTTTCATTTTATTGTAGTGATTTTGCTTTTTGGAAATAGCTCAATGTCACTCAGAACCAGAAGTGGTGAAAAAAGTATATCAAGAAAGAGAATATATTTTCAGATACTGAAAGTGATCCTAATGAGATAATAAAATAGATTTTTCTTATACCTTTGCCTCCCTTGATGCTATGTCTAAGGAGAGGAGTTTAAAAAAATCACTTAACTGATGCTAAGCTGCATCATTAGGATAAGTATTAACTCCCCAAGCAAAACCAGATGCCTTTGGGAGAACAACATTCAACTAAATGACAAAGTTCTGATGAGATCTGCTAAGGAAATAATTAATTACAACAATTATAATCATATTTAGAATTGTCCATTTAAACCTTGTATCTTCTGAGGACTGTATTTTTAGAAACATGTTATCTCATTCAAATGCTAGGAAAAAATAATTTGTGATGTTTTCTGGTATAGTTATATTACTTTTATGCAATTGGAACAAAAGCAAATAAAAACATGCATGTAGTATTTGTACATATGAATGATCCCTGATCATACATTTTAAAGGAATGGAAATCTTCTAATACTGTTCTATTAGAATAGGTAGGGGTATGTGTATGGTATTTAAAAAAGGAAAATCTATATCCAAAACTTTGTGATGATTTGGGCTTATATTCAGATAACCAAGAAAGAGCAATGAGGTTTGTAAAAATCCATTATAATTCTCTCACATGTAAATGTTGGAGAATGCTACAATGATAGCAGGAACACAGAAGATAACTGAAGAACATCAGGATTATATAAATCCTTCATAGTCCTTCTAAATGTAGTAATATATACTTAGGACCCTATGCTTCTATAATCTTAAAGACCATCTATTCTAAAACCATCATTGTATAAATAAGTTACAGTGGCTCTGAGGGTCAAAATGTCTGAAGGTCACTTGGCCAGTGTCTAGCCAAGGTCCGGATGAGATCCTAGATAGCCTGACCTGCTCAGGCCTCTTCTCTCATCACTCTGCCTTAACCAGCTCAGGTCCCACCCTGTAAAATGAAGTCAATAGACTAGCAAATGTTCTCCAAGGTCTCTCTTGTACCTCAGTCTATTGTTTCACAGGTCTATTAATTACTAATACACTATGCTCATCTCGAATAAACTCTATTAGCTCAGGGTTGATGCTATAAATTAAGGAAGGCCCTGTTTACAAATCACTTGTATGTATTCCTGAAAAGGAAAACGGTTATACTCTTTGAAACCTTACTCCTAAAGAATAAGCCCAAGATAGTTTCTTGTTATCTTCCTCATCATCTCTTCTACCATTCCCTCTGGCTTTTGGTAGGTTCATTTTCATTAACTGTCTCCATTATGCTTTTACTGAGCCAAATGACTAGATAATATATCTCAAGGTAATTATAGGTAATGCATGAAAGGAACAATTTAGGGACACTTACTTAATTTCTTTTTCTTTCTTTTTTTTCCTCCGTAAGACAGGGTTTGAACTCAGGGCTTCACACTTGCAAAACAGGCACTCTACTGTGTGAGCCACACCTCCAGTTCATTTTGCTCTGGTTATTTTGGAGATGAGGTCTCACAAACTATTTGCCCAGGCTGGCCTCAAACTGTGATCCTCCCAATCTCAATCTCCCACGTAGCTAGGATTACAGGTTTGAGCCACTGGTACCTGGTTCACTTACCTAATTTCTAAACTGTATTCATAGTTTCAATTAAATTGAGGAACCACATATTTCATTATATTTTCTAACATGGAGATATGAAAAAAATATGACAACATAGATCTAATCATTATTCTTATTTAAAAATAAATCTTTCCTTCATTGGCTTATACATTCTTTCTATATCCAGGAAAGAGAACACAATTCTGATCTGCAGCAATTTTCCTGTCCACAAAGTGGTACACCAAATCCTATTCCACTGCTACCTATCAAGGAGAGCTCTTGGACATCTTTTCTATCTCCAAGAGGAAGCTTGTGCTCTCAATTCTGTAAATGACCTGTTCTCCTACCAGAGGTCTTTGCTTAGTTCATCTAGTTTTGCTAGCACTGGAAGTATTTAAAGTCAGAAAGAAGACTGAGAGATGGACTTTTCCTTTTTCCTCCCATGCTTTTCACAGGCTGCTCACACATTGCTGAGGTCAAATCTGGCCCTCCAGAGTGCAATGTTTACAGGCTCTTGTTCCTGATAAACTTACTCCCCCACCCCACCTTAAAGTGCAAACGTGAGGAAGAAGAAACAAAAAAGTACTAATAGAGAACAAGCAAATGGACTTGGAATTTTATTTGTACAAATCTGATCAACTAAGAATTTTCCTTTTGGTCACAGACAATGGCACTCGAAGAAGAGAACAACAAGGGGGTTCTCTGTGCCCACTTCTTTTCAAAAGGGTGATTTTATAAAAGTGCTTTCCACATAGGGAAATAAAATACACTTCAATGAATAAGAACATATACAGAAGGTGACCATGAGGCATGTTGTCATGTCAGTTCAGGGGCCTTTATTTACTATATGAACAATAGTCTAAGGTTAGTGAAGAACTATGTTTTGTTTGTTGTTGTTGTTGTTTTAATCTAGGAAGCCAAGGAAAACCAACTGAGCATATTCCATTGGCTGCAGTCTCAAATTTAAACATCAGAGAGAAAGAAAGTTAAGTAGCCACAGTTGAATTGTGCCCAGCTGGTCAGCACACTTATTTCTGATTATCTGAAAATAAATAACATGCTTATTCTACAGAGACAGAGGACTTGCTGAAAGCTTATAGCAAGACACACAATCTACTCAAAATAATTCCGGATGTTACACTGTAGGATTGCTGTGTGGTTATACATGGGAAAGAGATCAAAACCCTGTACAGACACCTGATATCGGACTTGAAACGCCAAGTGAAAACAGAACTATTCAGCATCTTCATTTATACACAATTTACAATATTTGATTCAAAATAAAAATCACAAGAAAAATACATCTGTTTCTGCTACAATTCCTTCCCCTCCCGCATCCACCCCCCCTCAGTGAAAAGTCTTCTAATAAAAGGTATCATATTACCACCACTGTCTTGTTTTGGTCTAATTCTGAGATCCTGGCTTGAGCCAGGTAACATAAAAAGGAATGGTAATACTTAAGAATTTATATAACGTACACATTTTATCCAAGGATCTCAAGTACTTGCAGTCATGTCTCCAGATCTGAGAAATCACGATTCAGTGGAAGCCAGAAAGCTGGATGAATGCTGGATAGGTTGTATGGGGTGTAAAATCCCTTGGCTAAGTCTATGATCAAACAAGGTCAAAGTTGATCGGCTGGCGTTAGGCTCAATTTCTCTTCTCAAACATATACTATCAGTCAGTTAGATTTACCCTCTATTAAACCACACACCCATCTGCAGGCTACTGCTTAGAGTTAAAACCAGCTGAAGGAGCCATGTCCTCCTGATAATACATCAGGATATAACGCAAAAACAGGGAAACACATTCATCAGCATCTGGTCAAGGAGACAGGGGCTGGGAGGGTTGATTTGGGAGGCCATTCCTAGCAAGAATGAGAGCAAGGTGTCAGTCCACTAGGCTCAGCTACAGTTAAGCTTTGGTGGAGTTGGTTCCAGCAGAGGTGAAGCTCATGGCACCTAGTGCTTGATTTAAAGACAATGCTACTGAAGAAGGATAATGAGAAAACGCAGCAAACTAACAGGGAGGAACTGGCCAAGGAATATATCTGGAGGGCCAAAGTGATTTTCTTTCCTTATCATTTCTATAGGAGAAGGCAAGGATAGGAAAAAAGGGCTAGAGGGCCCCTTATTTGCAGATTTTTTAAAAAATCATTTTTCTCATAACTCCGTAATGAAAATGAGTATTACGGTATGAAGATTACAGAACTGCCATCTGCTACTAGATCACCGCTACAGGTCTATGAGCTGATCCACCAGCAGCAAAGACCTGGCTAGGTTGGGAAGACTGGACTCAGAGCTCCCACTGCTGTTTCTAGAGTGCCCACCTGAAAGTGGAGAGATAGCAATTCAGTATAAAACACAGAGGGTTAAGGTCTAGATGTGCAGAGCAAGCAAAGGAGAAAAAAAAACCCAGAGAAGCAACATTTTACATTTGCAAACTCTTACATGTTAATTTTTAAACATGAAAATTAGCAATCCACCACCTCCCACCAAAAGTTCAGGCACTTTGTGTACACTGTAGTATAGGCAGGACACTTTGCAAAGTTACCACAGCTTTTAAACCAATACGTATTTTGCCTAAGAATTACTGGCTGTACATTAGCCTCTGTTAACATCAAGCCATTTCTCTGATAAGTAAAAATCAATTTGGTTTAGGGAGAAATTATTAAGACACTGCAATATGAACATGCTTTTAAGAATAAATAGATGGTTCACTGGTTTACAGCATGTTCAAATAATTTTAATCCATTAAAGAGAAAAAATGATGCTCCATAAATGTCCAAAAAGATGCTAATCTTCGGGAAGACTATTTATAACAAATTGTTCTAATCATGATAAAAAATGTTAAGTTCTTTTGGTATGTACCTACAGATACTAACTGAAGATCACTTTATTTTGGCTTCATACTTTGTTAAAACAAAATAAAACAAAAAGAACCCCTAACTTTTTGCTGACCTACTGATACTTCTTTATAAACAAACACCATGGTCACCCATGCTTTAAAAATACCTCTGTTAGCATCTCTAGCTCTATCTATCTACTCTGGTCCAGTCTACAATGATTGTCATTGGTCTCAATATCCATTAAATGGGGGATGCTCCTCCCCCTATCTTGCAGGTTAGGTACATTTCAAGAGAACTGGTGTCAATCTCTTCTCTTTTTCCCAATCTCTCTCTTACCTTGTGGGTTTTTGGTAATCAATACAGGAATAGGGTCAAACTCATCTTCTGCCACCTTTTCCGAGCCCTCAGGGACATCAAAACCTGAGATGAGATTACTATCTTCTGCAGCTTAATATAGAATGCAAGCACACAAGCAGAAACAACAGAGGTAGAGATTAGCAAATGAGAGACCAGGAAAGAGGCACAAAGTTGTCAACTATAAACAATCACTGTTCTTAAAGGTGAAAGCACAAATTTTTTTAAAGTTGAAATAAAAGTAGTGAAACTGGAAAATACAGGGGTATAGAAAGAATGCTTTAGACTTAGCCATAATAAAACTTTCATAAATGATTTGGTTATTGAGAGAATGTTTTCTACTATATAGAGGACTATTAACTGTAATTGTTGTGAACTCTCATGAAGGCACTGGAATTGGTCATTTATCTTCTTTATTGAGTGAACAGAAGCTTGGATAACAACATTCAAAAGACTCAAAACCAGGGCTGGACAAAGAGAAGAGAAAATTAGTGGTTCTTTAAGCAGTAACAACTGTACGGGCTGGAGATGTAGCTCAGTGGAAGATGGCATACCTAGAATGAGTGAGGCTCCGAGTTCAATCCTCAACACCGCCCTCCCAAACCACAATAATAGAACTAATCACTATGTATGAGGAAAACACAATACTTCTGGACTCATTGTTCAGTGATGGGAAGAAAGACTTTCAAACTACTCAGATGCCTTAGGGGATAGTGGGACACAAGATCACATGCACTAAGACCTCCTGAAGAAGTTTGTTAGAATATTCTTCTCCATTCTAACCAAAGCTACCTCCCAGCAAATGCTAGCTGAGCACCTATTTCATAAGTGATGTTTCTCTGTAATTGAACACCGCTGCTAAGACACTCCCACAGACAAAATTGTTTAAACAGGTAACTTCTCCTTACATACTCTATAAAAACAATCATTTTAATGGTATCAGTGGTAAAAACAAAACCCAGCTATTACCACTGCAAACCATGAGCTAATTCTTTTTAGTCCTCTCTGGAGGCCTCCTTCTTGAATTTCCTTCAGAAAGGGCATATGCTGTTCCTTTTCTATGCATTTTCCCTTCCACAAAACCACTTTCACTGACTCAGCAGAGAAGTCAGTCTAGTAAATGCCCATGCACTATAAGCCAGGCATTGTGCCTGTCACTGCCACGGACTTCTCACTGAATATAACTTAATTCAAGCTACCTCTGCCAGCAGAATTTCAAACCAAATCAGTCGAAAGCTAAAGATGAAAATGGTAGATTAGAAAGAGAAGCCCAATAATCAGTTATGACTCTAGCTCAAAGGTAAGCAAAGATTTCACAAGTTCAATCTTTGAGGACTGACTTTTGAGGACTGTTTCTTTATTGCAGTCATCTCTATTCAAAAACCTCAAATCAGATTTGAAGCAATAATTATACTTTATAAGGCTATAAGTATAAAATTAATAATTACAGTTGGTCACTGGACAGTTGGCTCAGCCATCTCCTTTATTAAGGTACATTGCTCTCAAAGGTAACATTGATTATCTACACTCCAGTTCTTTCCAAAAAGTAACACCTTCACCAATCTGTGGTCTTAGGCTCATTAAATATTCTGAGAGGTATTATAACACAGTGGCTAAGAGTACAAACTCAAGTTTTCCAGATAAAGAGGTAGTTGAAATGCTTTATGAGCACTCTTGATAAGGGAAAGTAAGGGGAACACTTGTAAGCTGGTCAACTCTTCTCCAAGGGTTCAGGTGGGCCTGAGAAGAAGAAAGAATTTACCTTTGTGGGCTGGAGCAGAAATTGCTATGGGGGCAAACTCTTCCAGAAGGTCAGCAGTAGGGTTAGAAAGCAAAGAGCAGTCAAGCAGAGAATCTTCCCCAGTGAGAGAATCTGAGTCCAGTTAACAGCATCCCAGGTCAGTGATGGCATTAAATGGTACACATAACAGTATCATGAGATTATTGCATTTACAGGTTATACATACAACCCACGGTGGGAGGAAGAAAATCAAAAGAAACATGTTAAGCCCTCTGGAGTTTTACTCACATAAACATGTACTTCTAGATTTCTATTAACATTAACATACAAATTTAAGAGAATTTTTAGCTCAGAAGTTGACGATTAAACAAGTCTATAATTTAGATACTAGTAAAACTTTAACAACTCAGTACTCAGAAAAGAGGACTTTGTAATTAGAGTTTCACTCAAGCTTTCCCTAAATACTCAGGAGTAAAGTTACTATACAGTGAAGTTTCAAAACTGATTAGGAGGGTTGGCCCCTCATTTGATATTAGTAGGATGTGATGAGATTAAATAGTACCTTTGAAAACTCTACCAGGTTCCCATTCAAAATGCTTCTACTAGTATTGGTTAAATTTTAATCGCTTCTTTGGAAACAATCTGCTTTCAGTTAAAGCTAGAGGGAAGAAGCAGGGTGTCAGGGGTTCATGCCTATAATCCTAGCTACTTGGGAGACTGAGATTGGGAGGATTGCAATTCAAAGCCACACAGGACAAATAGTTTGGGAGACCCCATTTCCCCGAGTAAAATAGATTGGAGGTGTGGCTCAAGGGGTAAAACACATGCTTTGCAAGCCTGAAGCTCTGAGTTCAAGCTTCCCCCTCCCCTGCCTCCCCGCCCTATACACACACAAAAACAATTCAGAGGGAAGACAAATCTCAGAGTCCAAGCATTTAAGCAGGAACTGTTTACTGGAACAATTTTCTAGGAGAAAACATTCAAATAAGGACAAAGAAAAGGAACTATATTACCTTTTGGGGTGAATCTTTTTCACCTGGCTAAATTTATTGTCACATTTTCTAGATGTGTGTTTCCATTCCAAGCCAGAAAATCAGACACTGTTAGCAAGGTAATTATGGACTCCTCCCCCCAAAAAATGAACATTATCAGATCTGTTTTTATGGGCAGTTAATGAATTTTACTAAGAGTAACTTTTGAAAATAGGGTGAAAGAAATACTGGATACAGGGAAGATTTCAATTTTGTCTACAATTTAATAGCAATTCACCTATAACTAGTGAAAATTCTGTGCTGGGAAAGGAATGTCAACAGACAGTTGATGAGCTCCAAGATATCATTGGTATTGCCAGGTAGGAAAGCCCACTCAACAACCTGGAGAGGTTAAAGCAGCAGTACTACTGAACAGGTCTTTCTTTAAGGAGGTGGAGGGAACCACCGACCAGTTGAAAGAATCCTCCCACCTCCCAACCCTCGCCATCCCTGGGTTTTTTGTGTTGCTAAACCTGGCATATGCTAGGAAAAAACTCTTCAATAAAGAATCCTGCAAGCAGGGCAAACCTAGGGTAACTCTAAGAATATGGTTCCAAAAAGAACTCAGTTCTTTAGCAAGAGGTAATACACTCAACATCTAGAAGCTAGGGCTAGAAGAACAATTCAGAACATCAGTTGTAGGAGGAACTAACCAGGCTGCAAAACAGGCTCATCTGCCATAGGTAAAAGTATGGCCCTGCAGTCTCACTGGCCCTCAGGTGCAGAGATACCTGAACTGACCTGTGCGGTTTGAGGTCACAGACTCCGTCTGAGATGGGAGGCGCTGAGCAACAGGGGGCTCCAGTCCCGGTATGAGACTTTCAACAGCAACATCAGCTTTTTCTTTTGTAACAGGGCATTAAGAAAGGAGAGGAAAGGGGAAGGGAAAGGAAGTCAGAAGGTTGTCCAGGAAACTCTGTAAATGCTTCCTTACTAGGTCTCTAAAATACCAGTTTCAGGCAAGATGGAAAGCACAGTAACTGACCTTTCAGTGTCTGGGCTTCACTGATGGAGCATGTGCAAAGTTAACCACCATGGCCAGTTCAGTGATTATCAGTGTTATATATAAATGTGGAATGCAAGCCATTCTCAAGCAGCGAATCTCCTCCGTGTCAGAAGAGACTGGCTGAAAGGCACTTTTATTTCTATTAATTTTGCTTGTCTTAAGGAGCAAATTTGGAGTGAACATCACTTAATTCATCCTCTAATCTAATGCAAAAGCCTCTTATTCATCCCAAACTCTATCCCATTATATAGCTAGGAGGTATTCTGCACCACATAGCATCTCACAGTTGGAAGCCTATCTTTCTGTAGGTCTGGCATTTCTGAGTCTATGTCCAAGGGCACTGTTATGAACCCGTTATCACTGCCCTCCAAGAATACAGTGGCTTTGGATGTTTTATAGGCTTTGCCTATCTTGTTGTGGAGCACAGGAAAATGTAAGTGAGTAAGCAGACCAAGCCCCTGCCCTGGACTCTATTTACAGAGCTTTACCATTGGGAAAGTATTTTGTTACTGACACTTGGACCTTCTAAAGAAGAATCTGCTAAATTCCATTAAGTTCAGTGAAGGTAGCACCAGTTAGAAACTAACTTTTTTTCATCAAGTTTTTGTATGTGAATTTCTCTACCTTCCTTGTCATTCATAAAAAGTTCACTTCAGAAACCATAGGACATCAAAAACGGGAAAAGTTACAGTGCTGTGCCCATAAAAAGCAGAAAGAAACACTTCACGTGGAGTGACAGCCTTGGCTTCTCATTGGCATAGGCATAGCCTGTGTTGTACCAGGAGGCTTCAGGAGCTCTTCCACTTCTCTCAAGGGCTATATGCTAAGGATCTGTTAACCAGGCACTTATCAATGTGAAATACATATACATATCATGCAAGACTGAAGAAACAGATGATGACTTTACCAATTACAGCTTCAGAAGTGCTACCAAAGGGATCTGTCATAGGCAAGAGGTCAGGAAGCAGAAGAGAAGTGTCAGGAGATTTGAGTCCCTCAATTAGTTTTTCTAGGTTGGCAGGGAGGTTAAAAAAGAAAAAAAAAAAAAGCAAAACCAAAATGAGATATTAAAGTAGGTACATCACTCTGTTTTTATGCAAACATGCTTTAAGGGTCAACATTTGGTACAAACTCACCACAAAATGAATACCATTCATATCTTGGTAGCAAATTCAAAATTTTAAAATGGCTATTTCCCCAAATGAAACGGTCACTTTGTAAGGCATTCAAGATGCTGCCTTAGGCTTTCATTTGCTTGTTCTTATTTGAGGTATGATTTACATAGGATAGATGTCACTGATTTTTAGTATACAATGTGGTAAATTTCGACAATTGTACACTCATATAATCACCACTGAAATGATATATATCGTCTCCAATACCCTAAAAAAACCCTGTGTCCCTTTATAGTAAATGCCACCTCTCATCTTCGACCCTGGCAACAACAGACCTGCTTTTTGTCCCTACAGCTTTGCCTTTTCCAGAATTTCCATTTCACATGGAATCAAACGGTACATAGTCTTTTGTGTCTGTTTTCCTTCATCTAGCATACAGTTTTGAGAGTCAGCTATGTTGTAGCATGTATCAGTAGCTTGCTTTGATTTATTTTTGAGTAGAATTCCATTGTATGAAAGTATCACATTTTGTCGATCCATTTGCCAACTGTCCGACATTTGGTTGTTTCCATTTTATATCTATGAAAAATAATGCTGCCACAAATATTTGCATATAACTTTTTGTATATTCATTTTCCTTCCTGGACTTACTTTTCAATCTATCTTTTAAAAACTTTCACAAAGCAACAGTCCCAAGAAAGTCAATTCAGCTTCACCTAAGTCAACTTCAATAATCATTTCCTATCTGTCAACTGTGCACCTGTGATATGCTTAATTTTTATTCTATGGTTATATAACAGGTACTTAGAAATTGCTTTTGCTCAAAAGCACTGACTCCTCACTTGGGCCTTGCAAGGTAACTAAACACAGGATAAAAGTCTGGCATCTTCACCTTTATTCTATATCTGTCTCTTTTATTTTGGGTCAGATTCCTACTCAATTCTGCATGAAGGCATGTTAATCACTCAGGGGGCCTCTTTCTAAAAACTGGTGATACAAGGTTGATTAGCACCAAGTTTACCTAACTTATCTCATCCCCTTTCAAAACTGAAAGATGAGAGTAACTAAGATATTTTACTATCAGTTTTCACAAAGTCCCATTCCAGACCCCTGAAAAAAGGCCACCTGAAAGTCTCCAGTTATTGTCTTAAACATGCAGTCACCTTGGATTCCAGAATAGTAGAACCTCACAGAAAAACTGCCCATGGTAAGATCACCCCTAAATGGGAGCAATCACTCCATGACTGAAACTGAGGCTGGCCCACCCCAATAGAAGCAATCTTCTCTGGAATGGGATTGTCCCCTCAAGGAATAAGGACCATGCAGAACCAGAGCCAAGATAATGATCCAGACTACAGCTTGACCAAGACTGCTTACTTATGCATTCCTCTCACCCCTGCTCCTATTCTCCCTCTATTAGTTTTTTTTTTTTTTTTTTTTTTTTTTTTTTGTGGGACTGGGTTTGAGCTCAGGGCTTTGCACTTGCAAAGTAGTCACTCAACAGACTGAGAACATCTTCAGTCTTTCTCCCTCTATTTAAACCCAAAGCGCATGTCTGTATCCCACAGATGGGCTGAGTTGCTTGGTGGTCATTTTGATGAAAATCCTTTCCTGCTTTTTCATCTTTACCTTTGTTTGCTTTCTTTGGAGTGAGTGCCTGGAATTTGTGGAGGCCTCTGGCCTGGAACTTCAGTTACAGCTTCATTTCACAAAATTCACTTAACCCTAAACTATCAGCAACATTCTATTCACCTTTAACCTATTAAAGGTAGAGCATTAACTTGAAATAAAATAATGAATCACAGAATCTCACTGAAAGAAGGGAATGTAAGAACTCATACTCTGGTTACAGGGAAACTGAAGTCACATAAATTCTATGACTTTGCCCAGTTAAACTAAAATTAAAACATTTATTTGAGAAAAGGATGTGGCTTAAAGTTCATGTGCATAACAGGAAATCAATGTGAGTCAATGCCCTGTATAGCTATCCTTATCTCAACCAGCAAAACCCCTTGTTCCTTCCTATTATTGCTTATACTCTCTCTACAACAAAATTAGAGATAAGGGCAAAACAGTTTCTGTTGGGTATTGAGGGGGGGGAGTGGGAGGGGGTGGAGTGGGTGGTAAGGGAGGGGGTGGGGGCAGGGGGGAGAAATGAACCAAGCCTTGTATGCACATATGAATAATAAAAGAAAAATGAAAAAAAATAAATAAAAACTTAAAGTTCATGTGCATAGAACGATTTGATGAATTTATAGTCTTCAAAGTCTTTGGTATACAGGTACTTAGAAACTGTTTTTGATAGAAAGCACTGACTGCTCACTTGGGCCTCAAATGTTGAAAGGGTAACTAAAAGCAGGACAAAGGCTTGGCATCTCTGACTTCATTGTGCTAAGCCATTCTCTCCTCCAGTCACTTTGCAGCCACCTTGGAATCCAGGGGGGACAGAACTGATGAATAAACTTCCTGTGACAGGAGTCCAAGCTATCCTCTGTCAGACTATGATGAGTTTCTCCTGGTAACTAGTGCCTGCTTGACCAATCCTAAGATAATGAGCAACTAGACCACACACCTGACCACTGGCCATGAACCACACCGTGACTGTAGCTATTTAATAGTTATGTGCACCTCTCACTTCCTGCCCCCAATTTTCCCTCTATTCAAATCTAAAGCACATGTACCCTGATGATGGGCTGAAGCGCTCATTCTGCCTCTTCTTGCAGTGTGCCCATGCCTTTCACTATTACTCTTTATTTGGAGTGTTGGGGGCAAGTGGCCCTGGCCTTGGGCCTGTGGCCTACAACTCCTGGTTATATTGTGAATTGGGATAAGCAATAAATAAACTGATAATCATCGAAAGACAGGAATCAAATTTTAGTTGATGTGTAATTTAGGTGATCCAAAACTACTCAGATTGATGAAAAGATTTTAGAATCTTGGCAAGATAATTTTCTTTGGTACAATTGACAAACTGTAGGGAAAAAAAAAGAGATTTTTTTTTTTTTAATTAATGTGAACCTAAGGCAGGATTGATCAGTGAAAACAAGGCATGGGGAAGGACAGCCAGGAATTCACACATCATTATACGAATGAACAGCTTGATTAAAGGTACACAGACACTGTTTGCTTTAAACCTTACACTCCCTCAATAAGCTGCAACCCTAAAAGGGGGGGAAAAAAGGAAAAATAGCAGCTCTTTTCCCCTGACCTTGCATGTTTGCCCAAATGATTAATGCTCTGGGAAGTGAATAAGGATATCTTACAGAAAGATACTTATCTTGGGAAAAAAATCCTCTGGACACAAAAAGTGTTTGCAAAGGAACAAATTTATTTCTAGGATGGCCACATATCTTAAAGGGAGCACCAGGCAGAACCCATCCTTTGTTTAAAGGGATGCTTGAAGATCTATGTCTTAATGACCCAAGTTTAACAAACGGACCAATCTTGACATTGCTGGGGCCAATGGATAAAACAGCAAGAATGATTAAATATACTAGGTGTTCAGAATAAAGGGGAGCACTCATCCTTGGGTAAATTTAAACCAAATCCCCAGCCCACTTTTTCACCATAAATACCCCTGATGTTTGAGTACTCATACCACCTATTACCAGATGGCTTGCACCATGTCTGGCTTGTATACTATTCTTTCTTTGCTTTGCTTTACTGATAAACTGTCGTGTTCTCTACCTTGAGGTGTCCTAAAATTCTTTTTTTGGCAGCAACACTATGAACTCAGTACCCAAAGGCTAGGCCAAGGCCTCCTCTCTCTTGGAGACCTCCTCCCCTCACTCACCTTTGGAGTACACAAAATGTAGCTATCTTGAGTTACATGACAATATGCTACATTTCTTATTTACACCCATTTATCTTGAAATGAACAAAGGAAAAGGAAGCTTCTCAAAAACAAAGAAATAAAATAACAGGAAACTAAACAAGTGCAATTATATCAACATTAATCTTGTACTAAACTTGACATTTTAAGAAAAGATGTTAAAAATGTTTAAAATATCTTTGACAAATTTTTTTACCATACTGGTAATAAGATGGTTTTCCTAAAAAAAAAAAATCTAACTTTCCATTATTCAACAATATTGAATTCCTACCCCCAAAATTCCATTTAAAAAATGTAATTTGTTTCTTTCATTTAGCACCTATATATTTGCAATCCTGTGAAGCAATAGAGCAAATACTTGGTGTAAACCCCAGGCAAGCATTCTTTCAGAGTTTGAATTCTAGCCTTCCCATCATGGCTTGTGACCCTGGGGCAGTTCCTTAAATGGCTACATCTCTCCTCATCTGCAAAATGGAGATCATTCTCCTCAGTTTTCTGTGTTGGTCACTCAGGTACTACATCCTCTAAGATACTCGTAGCCTTACAGTGTGACTAAAGGCTTAGAGTGTGGCTTATTAGCCCCAGCATCTCCGATTCCTAGCTTCCTCATCCTTCCTACCACATTTGTGCATTTTGGCTTGGTTGGGGGTGGGGGGAGAAATAAGAGATTAGCTGGAAAAACTCAGACATTTCAATAAGAATCTAATTCTTTTATGAGCCATTAGCAAAAAAGTTAATATGAGAGCATTACCAAAAGTACATGAGTATGTACTTGTATGCATATGTTGAGTGGTGACACAGAATGCAGTAAATTGCCAAATTTAGGGAAGCTTATTTTCTGACCAAATCTGAAAGTAACAGGCTATCCACACAGACAATTTTTACAATCACTGCTGTGTGGGAGTCCTCAAATACTAGAAATGTGGAGAGGTGGAGAGGGCAGTAACACCAAGCAGAAAACCAATGAAAGCACAGGTCACCTTCTGGGCAAGG